CACACCTCAGAGTATCATCTGACTTTGAAAACATTATTAAAAATAATCTTAATTAAAGAGTTCAACATCAAATCTCAGGCCTATTAATAAATCAAAGTTTCTGAAATTTGCTGTTAAATTCAATTTCAAAAAAAAAAAAGCAAGCTGTGTGGTTTGCTCATTATAATTAACCTTCCTGGCAGTAGCATTAGAGAGCAAATAAATCCTTTTAATCAGCTAAGCTCTTCATTTATAGATTCTAGTTCCATCTTGAACTCTGTTACATATTGACTACCTCAATTATGTTGTCAATAATACATGCACAATTACATAAAAAGTTCCATAAAACAGCTTTTAGAAACACTTTGTGAAAAAATCATGCAACTGCCTCCAAATCTCTTTCCCAATCCAATATTCTTACTTGAAACACAAACTTGGTGATCAAGAAATACAAAAGCAAAATAGAGAAAATAAATTATCACATGAAACCACTTGATCTAAAACTACTGAAGTAAAAAATATGAATCCTATGTCCATTTAAGATATGCTACTGATTACAAAAAAGTAGTTATGTTGGAGTTAGTATTTACATAATCTGTTTTTAAATCTTTGAATCCCTCTGAGATTTTCCAGGAGTGGCCATCACTCACAGAAGTTTAATAAGGCATGAAATCTGTAAAAAAGAGATTTCTTTTTCCAACACCACATTACCTTTTTTATGACCCAAAAAGTGCACAAATGGACAGGAAAAAATAGTTTTTCAAAATGATTTCAGAATGCAGTCATTATTCTATTATCTGATCAAGAGCAACTACCAAATACTATGTGCTGCTCAAAAAGTTTCTTTCATTAAAAGAGAAGGAAAAATAGGAGAGAGAATTTCAGTGCCATGTTATTGCAGCAAAACTGCTCTGTTATTATGTAGGAATACAGAATTTGGCCTCACTACATTGGAACTGAAGTCTAAGAAAGTTAATGTTCTGTCTTTAGAAACTGCCTATGCCTAAAGACTGATGAAGGAAAACAACGAATTTGCCTGACCAATTTGGCAGTGTGATACACACAAAGAGAAATAGAGACAGTACCTTCCAAGCCTTGTGGCTGCCAGCCTGCACCCTTCAGCATTAAACATCTCTATTAGTACTTAATATGTCAGGTTGGAATTATGAACTTAACTTTATTGATGATTAGTTACTTGAAGATTTAGCCCACAATATACTACATTTCCATATTTTTAATAAAATAGTAGGTGCATTAAATCAAAGAACTCTTGATATGAATTGAAATTTACACTGGGAATTTGTTCTTCCAAAAAAAAAAAAAAAGAAAACCTTATAATTACAGCTTTTTGGAACAGACATCTTCTCTTTTCAGGCAGTTTTCAGGCCTGTAGCAGTGTTTTGTATTTTTAGATTATGAAGACATGTAGTTGTAATACAATACATTGACGTTTCAAATAAAAGCCTCATTTCAACCAGCTGAGCAATATGGGTATGGTATAGCCGTGTGGTATACTACATCCACAGACTTATCTGTGGTATAGGAAGATCAGCATGGGTGCATAAGTCTTCTGAAATAGCTTGATGGGATCTTTTAGCTTGTTAAACATAAAATTGCACCTTTTATTCGTCTCCATAAGAATATGCTTTCAAGTTGAGGACAGTTCTTCAGTAGACTCTCCTGGTATTATGTCTTTGGCATGGTCTAACAAAAATCTCATTGTCTTTACAAATTTGGGAGGGTTTCAAAATATAAAAAGTAACATAAGACCCATACTGACTTTCTTGACTGATTCTCTTATCATTAAAGTCTAATTTAAAACAGCTCTACCTACCTTCATATAAATTATTATTTAATGCAAAATATGCATACTCAAAGAGTGAAGCCAGAGTGCTTTGGAATTATCAAGGAAAGAAACCAGAAACAGAAGAAGTTAATACTTAGTTGCATGGAGGTTAAGAGGGGTTTGGGGATGTTACAAATATTAACACAGGACAATGATTGCAAATGCTACATTCCCATGTGTCTGCTCTAAACTTTTGTAGCCTTTAATGAAAATCACTGAGCTACATTTAAGCACAAAGACACAACCATCTGAGAATGCTTACAATCTACAAAACAACAATTGCACATGCAGGAAGTTTCCTTGTGTAAAGTAAGACAGTCTACAAAAAACACTTCTTCCAGTTCAGCTTTCCTTATCATGCTTTCATCAGTAAATCAAACTCCACCTACCTCTTATGGCTTAAGAGGTTGAAAGACGTAGCATAAGCCTTGCATTCTCACAGTCTTACATATATGCTTAGGCACCCTATGAAGGAGATTAGGTGCTCTGCACAGGTCTTACTGTATATTTTAAAATGCAGGTTTTGTGGGTAGATTTCCTGGTTTTGCTTCTTATTCAACTAACAGGAATCTTCACATTCTATTTATTTTACCCTTTCTGTTTTGCAACACCACAGGCTTCCACTAGGTCATCACTGTTAACATGGTCACAAACTTGCAAGCAGAGAGCTTGCAAAAGCATCAAACATACAAACAAATATATCAAATCTATCAAAACAAACACAAAAAATTAGTTCAGATTCATAAAACAACGAGTGTTTTATAGGAGCTCCTTTTTGGTGGTGTCTCTTCAGAGGCTCATAAATCATCAGTTTACACTGAATTTGAAATAAACATGAGCACAACAGATAGAACACAGTATTATGAAGATTCTCCTTAAAGCCAAGTATGTAAGTTGCACACACTGTTTTAAATGGCTGCAGACTTAGCTGTCCATTAGTTTCAAACTGCAGTCACCACTTGTGACTTGCTTAAACTTTCCCAAGTCTTACTGCTCAAAATGGACTGATTTGATAATCAGGTCATGCAGCTTTAAATTTTACTTTATTTTTCAAGTTACTTTACTTATTTTTAGAAAATACTTATTTTTAGCTCAGGCACATTTTTATTTAAGAACAGTTTTTGCTTAATTTCTCATACTACCATGGCATTCCATTTTGACATACAAACCTAACAGATCTTAGAGAGATGTAATTCAAGCTGTAACAAGACAATACTCTTTCCCTAAATTTAACTTTGCTGTAATAAAAACCTCATTATTATGGGCTGGTGCTTTAAGACTGCCGTCTAGGAAATCTAAAGAATATTTGTTCCAAATGTATTAGTGCTAACTGTATTACTTCCAAACTTGACTCACAAAGACATATTCACCTCATGCACCTCACTTCATGAAGTCAAGAGTTAGACCAAAGATAAATTTGACTTCTTGTTTTGTTCCTACTTGAATTACAAAAAAGAACAGTAAAGAATAAAATTTGATATTCGGTTACTTCCCACAAGAAGTGGAGGACCTAAGGTTTAGAGCACAGATTCAAACCTGACAAATTTGTGCAGTCATATCAGATGACACTGCTAAGTATAATCTGATATCCAGTAGTCTAAATTTTCAACACGAATTCTGACAGTAGAGCTTTTGTTGCCTTTCTTTCAGAGAGACATCAGTGCTAATTCTTTTTTTAAGACAAAGCCCCCTAAAGGATGTTAAAGTTGGCCAACTGAAAGACTGCATATTCTGAATTACCATTCACATTTGAGAATTTTGGCCACATTTAACAGATGAAAATGAGAACAGCTATTTGTAAACTGGAAGTAATCTTATTCAGATTTATACACACACACAAAACCCACCACACCTATCCATGGGTTATAGGCATTTTGAATACATGAAAATTCCACACAATCAAGGCCCATAAATAGCTAAAGTGTAACTGTATAACAGAACAACTATCCAAACAGCTATGGAAACTGAGCAACTCAGTAAAAAATTAAAGGATTTCCAAATTCCAAAGGAAACAGATTATTTTTTCCAGTGCCAGAAGTGTACCACATGAAGAATACAGCAGTTAATCTATTTGCAACATGGCAGAAGGAGAAAAGCATATTCAGAAGTCCTAATATCCTGAAGAACAACATATTTCTCATATTTCTAAGCTTTATTCTCATACTCCTGTACTAGATTGCAGTAACAGCTCAAACATTCCCTCTGATCTTATCTCTGCTGCTGTAACAGTAGCAACTTTTTAGGCAGATACATGATCAACAACTGGGATACAAGCCAATACCAATACTTTAAGGCAACTCCCAAAACCCCACAGACATAGTTCAAGGAACTCAAACTGAATATTATCATACTGTCATAATTCACTGCACAAACAGATACTGCACTACCATCATCTTCTGAATGTTTCTCATGCACAGCCCTATGTACTCTTACTTGTAGTGACAACAACATTGGAGCCTTCATCTGACAGTCTTGTTTAATTATGGGGCTAAAAAAAACCCGTCTCTGCATCTGACAGTCTTGTTTAATTATGGGGCTAAAAAAAAACCGTCTCTGCACAAAGCATGGATGTTTTTGTTTGTTTGGTTGGTTTTTTTACCAACTGCTAACATTAATATTGATCAGAATCACTGAAAAAGTTTTTGAATTGCCCAAGCATCTGGCCAAATTCAAAAGGAGAAATACTGCAACAAATCCTAGATGTTTTAGAAAGGAGCTCATTATTTTCAGATCTGCCAGTCTTCATCATTTACATGGTTGTTACCTTACCCCTATGCTATTTAAATTATACTTTTTATCTCCATAGTCTTGCCCAAGACGACATGTAGCACTTTCATTGTCCTCTGATTTGATGACACACAGATACTCTTTGAATTCAGACTATTTTGTCATTAATTTATCACTATAATGATCATTAAAAAATTGTGTATGTAAAAGTGAAAGTGAAAATTTATTGTGCTAATGCATTTCAGTTGTTTGCATTAGAGCAGGCTAAATGAGTGGATGACATTTACTACCAAACAAACTTATTTTATCATAAATGCAATCCATTACAACAATAATAGAAATATCAAACTCCTTTCAACATTTTACTTGAGCTTTTTTCTGCCTGTTAGGAATTCTAGTTATTAGCTTCATTGTGCCAAGGACAGACCGGTCTTTTCCAGACACTTACCCTCTGACAGCATGAATAAGTCTCAGTGATGGATAGGCGGTTCGCACTTTCAATTTATTCTTAAGGATTAATGCATTAACCCACTCCACATGCTTCTCTCCGCCTTTGACCATGAAAGCAGGGATCCAAAGGACACTGTCATTCAGCATGGATAGTCTATGCACAAATTTTTCTCTGTCACTCTCATTCCGAAAGCCTCCAAATGCTCTTTGTACAACTGATGGGTTCATGGTAATAAAATCAGATTTAGTTCCCACATCGGCAGCAAACTCCACCACAGGAGCTAGATTGCACCTGAAGAGGAAGAAATTAATGGGAAAAATGAAAATAAATATGAAACAATAACTCAGAAAAATGTGTGCATGAAGGGAAAGCTGCAAATGAACATGAAAGCCCATTTCAATTTGCATGAGAAAAAAATACCAGTGATAATAGGTGTGATAACACGTAGCATTTTACCCAACTTGCACATTCATTAGACAAATCTTTAAAAAACATTAAATGCACATAATGCTGCAGGAAAAAGAAGTTCTTTGTACATTTGAAAACCATGTCATCATGCTTTAAAATGCATTGACAGCTATAGTAGCACTTACGAATAAGAGTATGCTTTCTAACACCTATTACCTTTCATTAGTGTTCATTTGTCATCATGTTACTAACAGCTCACACTCTTCAAGGAAGCCATGCCAGTCAGTTAAAGCAGAATTTATACAGGTTAGTAATTGCATTTTTTTTTACAATACAGTATTTAAATATGATTTACAAATGAACTCTACCCCATGTTAAATGAGTTTTTGGTATTTTGGGTTTTGGCATTATCACTGCAGCTGATCAGATGTTGTGAAATTTAGTATTTTCTTTTAATTTTGAAATGAAATTTTTGGAAAAAAGCATTAATCTTTCCATTTTCCTTGATATCTCATTATCAAACCTCATTTAATTTTGCAGTAGCTTTGTGCTTTTTTCTAGGCTTGAGAAAAAGGTCTCATCAGCCCTTTGTTCAGCAGTTTTTAATCTCTGTTACATAAATACATATATGTGTATTTATATGTAATCACACACAGGCAGTATTCTCCATGGGCAGCATTGGATGCAGGTGACAAAATGCAATTCAGAAATTGTGATTTCAGTGACCAGTATGATCCAGCTGAAACAAATCACCTCCACAACATCCCAAGTGAATTAGCCTGTAGCTGGTATGCCCCAAATAAGTATCCTGACACAAGAATATTTTCACAATTTAACCAATTGCTCTGTTGAGGTGAAGGATGCTAAGAAGCAATGTTGGAACTAGGTCCTTCAAAAGATTTGTATATTATTATATTCTTAATATAAATAGTATTCTATTAGTTCTGCAGTTCTTTTCTGGTACAATAAAGTTTTTATTTAAGCTTATCCCTTAGCATCTTCTAAAGGGCAGATCTCCAACTTCATCTACAAATAACTGAAGTCAGCAGGGCAATATTAACACCAACTGATCACCTAGTCCTGACTGATAATACTAACTTCTCAGAACATCATTTTCATTCTGTAATTATCAGCTAAAGAAGTGGTCCTGTCTTCTTAAGAAAGAAATATTTGGAAGACTGTAAAGTGTATATATTCTTAGGAGGTAAAGCTGTCCAAGTTTCTGATGACATGTGGGTAGATGTAAGCTTTATTAGGAAACAGATTTACATTCTTCAGTATCTTTATACATCCATTCCACAAACCATCTGCATGTATTAGGCTGCTAAGAGTAGTATGTTTTAGAAAATGGTAGTTAGGGCACAAGAAAAAATTCCACTGATTTCAATATTGGCTTTGAAAATTTTTTCTAAAAACTTTAATGCATGAACCTATAACCTGCAATTGTCAGAAGTTTGGTATTGCATAAAATCTAAAAATAAAAAAAATAATCAAACCAAGGACTTAAAATCAACCAAATTCACTAAATTACACCTGCTCTTGAAAATACATCTTTTAAGGGCAGACTGCACATAATGAGGGATTCTTGCATAGCAGGTTTTTTTTCAGTAGTCACACGTACATGCATGTGATAGTATCTGTTACTTACAAACATAGGACAGAGCTTGACATTGCAAATCCTGCTCTGTGTCCAGTTTTGAGAAGCACCTATGTACCAACACTATCTTGTTGAAAAAGCTGTATGCCATATGCAAAGTGTGCACATATGAAATAGGCCTTGTGGTTCTAAAATGATTCTCTGCCTTTTGACAGCTCCCTTCTGATCTGCCAACAGCATCAGTGCCTAAATCTTAAAAGTGTATGTAGTTTGAAACCAGCATATAAATGTAATTTCACCTAAAACCTGAAAAAATCATCACAGGCATACCAAATACAAGGGCTACCTACCTTGCATGTCATTACTGCTTCATCAGTAGTATACTTAATATCAAATACTGTATTTTAGAAAAGTATACAGTATAAGCAGCATAAATTCTTAACAAATTGCATATTCAGATTTTTCAAGTATAACTTCAGAAAGTAATGAGCAATCCAAATGCACTCAGTAACAATGGAGTTTTCTATTGTCTATGAACAATTATTTAGAATATTAGTCGTATTTTTCAAGCTTAAGCTCATATGTCTCAAATTAGACAGCTGATTATAATATTAGAGGCAGGTAAGGCATTTTGCTTTCCAAATGCAGAGCACCTCTTAACCTTTGATCTTTTAAAAATTCAGTTATATAAATGTGGATTAGTAGCAGTGCTGAAGTTTGAAATAATGCAGTAAGTGCATCTGCACTTTGAAAGGCTCTGTTTTCAAAGAAGTAACTAGATGCTGTTAGCAGTACACTAAGATTTTTCTTTTAGTAGAATACGAATGTAAGACAAGCTCTACACAAATTTCTAGCTCTGTTAAGGAAATAGACATTACTACATTAGTTGTAGTTGACCAAGTTATAAAAATAATACCCCCATTAAGCCACCTCTCATTTTCTTAGAGGTTATTTCCTTCAAAGAGTGATTCTAGTGCTCATTAAATTACAAGTGTCAATATTAAATATTTACAATATATTTATCCACGAAGTTGGAAAATATAAAACACCTGCTACAACCCCTCAATTAAAATCAGCACATTCTTCAGTACAGAGTAAATGTAGCAGTTATGTCAGAAGTGTTTCCATATGAGTTTAAGAGTTTATGTGCTAGTGATGAACGGTAACACTTACCCTAAACTGCTAGTACCTGATCATTTATATTTCCAGGTGAGTTCAAGAAAATTTTATAGAAATGTATCACAGAATCAAAGAATGGTTTGGGTTGGAAGGGACCTTTAAAGGTCATCTAGTCCAATGCTCCTGCGATGAGCAAGGACATCTTCAACTAGATCAGGTTGCTCAGAGCCCTGACCAGCCTGATCTTGAATGTTTCCAAGGATGGGGCATCTACCACATCTCTGAAGCAACCTATTCCAGTATTTCACCACCCCTGTTGTAAAAAATTTATTCCTTATATCTAGTATGAATCTACCCTCTTTTAGTTTAAAACCATGACCGCTAGTCCTATTGCAACAGGCCCTGCTAAAAGTTTCTCCATCTTTCTCGTGTGTTTCACGGCTAATAAAACTAGCTATTGTATATTTGCATATAGACCCAAGTACATGTAAATAGTTTTTGTTACCTGTTTCAGAGCTTTTGTCGTAACCTCTAGTGCATCTTTGTGCTATGCCAGAGTTTCATACAGTTGGAATTTTTAAGTTTATTTTGTTAGCAGACATCAATGATCTCCCATCAATTCTCAGGACTCTTTCAAGAAAACTTGGTATTCAGAGACACACATGAACATATACTTGTTTTCTTTTAAGTCAAATTAAGAAGCCTATTAACTGAAAACTTTGAAATAGGCAATGCAGTACCCTTCCCTTGTTAAATTCTTCAGTTCTAGCTCATTTGTCCTAAGGCACAGAATGCTGAATATATCCACAACAGTGATGAGGAGGTGAGGGGGGGCTCTGCACCACAAGCTTTACTTTTATATGCCTAGAAATTTGTACACAGCAAACGAAACCTTTATTTTAAGTTGTCATTGCTATATCAAATCCAGCAGGAAGAATAAATAGAAGACTGTCATTTACTGAGCTTCCTCTTTCTCACATGCCACATTATTGATAACTTGCAACTATATGATTGCTTAAAATTTGACTCCAAAACACAGTTTTCTGCAACATACCATCATCTTCCATTCATTCTAAAAAAACTTCAGTATTGCCTCTATGTCAGTCAACCTGCAAATATAGAATCATAATCATTTAGGTTGGAAAAGACCTTCAAGATAGAGTCCAACCATCATCCATGCCCACTAAACCATGTCCTGAAGTACCCCGTCTACTTTCTTTTTGAATACTTCCAGGGATGGTGACTCAACCACCTCCCTGGACAGCCTATTCCAATGTCTGACAACCCTCTCAGTAAAAAAAAATTTCCTAATATCTAACCTAAATCTCCCTTGCCTCAACTTGAGGCCATTTCCTCTTGTCCTATCTCCAGCCACCTGACAGAAGAGACCAGCACCCACCTCACTACCACCCCCCTTCAGGTAGTTGTAGAGAGCAATAAGGTCTCCCCTCAGCCTCCTCTTCTCTAAACTAAACAGCCACAGTCCCCTCAGCCGCTCCTCATAAGACTTATGCTCCAGGCCCCTCACCAACTTGGCTGCCCTTCTCTGAACACTCTCCAGCAACTCAATGTCTTTCCTGTAGTGAGGGGCCCAAAACTCAACACAGTATTGAAGGTGCAGCCTCACCAGTGCCAAATACAGGGGAACAATCACTTCCCTCCTCCTGCTGGCCACACTATTTCTGATGCAGGCCAGGATGCTGCTGGCCTTCTTGGCCACCTGGGCACACTGCTGGCTCATACTCAGCCAGCTCAGTCAACCAGCACGCCCAGGTCTTTCTCTGCTGGGCAGCTTTCCAGCCACTCTTCCCCAACCCTGTAGTGCTACATGGGGTTGGCGTGACCCAAGTGCAGGACCCAGCACTCGGCCTTGTTGAACCTCATACAATTGGCCTCAGCCCATCGATCCAGCCTGTCCAGATCTCTCTGTAGAGCCTCCCTACCCTCAAGCAGATCGACCCTGCCTCCCAACTTGGTGTCGTCTGCAAACTTGCTGAGGGTGCACTCCATCCCCTCACCCAAATCATTGATAAGTAAGTAAGTGGGCTGCAGGTCAAAGCTGAGCTGGGCAAACTCAGCTATGAGGTTACTAACATGGAGAATATGAGAATAGGTTGTAATTAACAGTCACACATAGCACTGAAGATTGACTTGAGCAATTAAGCAG